CACATACTTTGTGCGCAACACATATGTATATATTTACTTAGCACAAAAAGTAAGAAAAWGTGTTTGGTAGATTATTTMTTTTTTGTAACAATGCTTCTTTGCKACAAATCTWAYAGCRGGCAGCTGATTGGCAGCATCAAAACAAGTATCAGTAGCAACARCAAAATAAGTTGTTTGGCAAACTTTTCATGTGCGCAACCCACATACTCAGCTTTACTGCTCACCCCACAAATGCATGTGGGATAAGCCTTATGTGGCACTATTTAAAAAAGACATTAACAGACAAATTTCCTTACTTTTTGTGCAAACTTTATATGTCTAATATATTCCTGATGACTTTAATCTTTACTTTAGCACTATGAGAAGCAAGACATTCATTTTACTGTAGTCTTCCTCTTTTTGTTTTCTTCTCCTACAGTTCTGGATCAGTTGCCCTTCATGATGATGTCACATCCTCTGATTCCTGCCAGCCTGGCGCCAGCATCCATCTCCATGGCCATGGGCCAGATGAACCGGCTGAGCACCCTGGCCAGCATAGCCAACGTGGCCCAGCTCCACGCCAACGCACCTGCCAGGGCGCCCACCTCCGTCATTAAGGTGAACTCATGGGGGCCAACTGGCCTCACAGATCTGACCATCTGACCAGGAAAAAATAAATTGAAGTCTGTAAAGTTTAGAAAAGCATTTATATATTCATATGTTTAGAGATATCTAGTGTGMTACGGCCCTCTTAATAAAGCTGTTCTTGGTTCGTCAGGAGCGGGTACAGGACACCCCCTCCCCTTCACCCTCGCTGGACGAAGCTCAGATGTCATCCAATCACAGCAGCAGCGTGTCAAGTTCACCGTTGCCTACGGAGCGCACCGCAGACGCCGCACGTACGTACCGACCCGTAGCCCGGAAACACGCCACTCTGTCATCCATTAAAAGACGCTTTCATGAATTTCTTTCCCTTCAGATCAACTTCATGACGGCCTTTCATCGAGTCACAGCATGTTGAGACACTCTCCTGGTCTGGCGCAGCRTCCCAGAGAGACCGATGGGACGTTAGCAGAATATAACAAGGAGAACAAGAGGAGCCACACCGACAGGGGTAACAACACTGATTCTGCAGCAGAGCTTGTGCTAAAAGCAGTTTGACTTAATTTAAGTGTCTTATATGCATTGACTGACTGCGTTAACCTTGCTTCAGAGGTCMATTTTCTGCTGTTTTCTGAGGATTTCTTCTTACAGTCAGTCATTTAGTCATAATAACGAGTAATGATTGCTTCTCAGGAAAATCTATTGTCTCTTTTTTTGCAAAAGGCTGTCTGTATTGAACATTGCATTCAGTTTTCAGCCAATCCATCCATCTTTGTCAGCGCCTGTTGCTCCGTGAACTCAGCCCCACCTGCAAGTGTGCAGGTTTCCCCGAAAACATTTCCTTTAACGGAAAGCGTTTTTTAGTTTAACGAGAGAGAAATATCAGTAACATGTTGATCGTGATTCACCTCTTTTACCC